AAGAAATTTGCCTTATTTACACGTATCGGCAATGCAAGCTGCCATGCGACTTCCCCTTCTGACGTCACAAGGGGAATTTCTGTATGCAAATGAGAAGCTAATGAGGAGCCTCGTTTTAAAATACACAAAATAAAGTTGCCGTAGATTAAGTTTAAAACACATTTTTTCACTTAAAAAAAATAATTCATGCTTAGAAACATGAAAATTAATAATATTTATGTATCAATGGATATTTTTAGGCGTGAAAATAGCAGCCATTTCACAGGCACTTTAAGCCAACCGTTCGGCTGAATTCATTGTTTTTGGGTGGAAAAATCCCTTAAAGTGCCTGTGTAATGCCCGCCCACACGTTTCCTATTTTAGATCTGTGTTCCACTGAAATGGGCAGTTATTGATTTTTTGGCTGAAAATTATTACTTGTATCCAAGTAAATTTGAGATATTTTCATGTTGTAGCCACGCCCACCTATCCTGAAATGGTCGACTGTTTCCGGATTTCCGACTCCACCAAATGCCAAAATATGAGAGAAAGTCAAACCCCTGGGCCGTAATAACACTGGTCATTCAATATACTTTTAAATGCTATACATTTTTCGGTCGGCAATTTTTTTTTTTTTTTTGTCTATTTTTTTTTTTTTTTTTTTTTGAGAGAGAGTTTTTAGATGTTGTGTGGTGGGCAGTTGCAGTGATATGTATAGCCATAAGTGTAAGTATTCACACGTTTCTAATCGATCCAAAGGTGCAACATCAGTGGACGAAAGCCGTGAAAGCAACAAGAAATGGTTGGGGTGGACCTTCTCCTTATAGCGTCATATATAGTGTCCACTTAATCTCAGATTCTTTTTTTTTTTGAAAAACTGTCCTCGTCCATGAAAAAAACAACTAGGTTTAAAGAGAAACGCTGGCAACACTTTTGTTGAGCTCATGATTACTGAGACGGATTTCAGAAAAGAGAGAGAGAAGTCGGTAAGTGTTTCAAATGATTTGACTTTTTTTGCGATCCTGATTATCGTTTTACATGTATATAGACCATTTAGTCCATGTTAAGTAAAGGTAGCAATAATTTTGATAGTGACACAAAAACGACGTGTCTGACAAACAGGAAATTACACAGCCTTTACACACTGCTAATTGTTTTCATTTTCGAAGGCTAAAAGTTTCGGAATTGGTGATTGGTGTTGAATGTCGAATTCACATCTCTGTTTAATACCTTTACTTGCAGCTTGATCTGCGTAATAATTTATGGATTAAGAACACGGGCTTGGGCTGTCAATGTGTTTCCACCAAATAAAGTTTTAATATGTCATAATTATGACAATCACGCCATGGATCACACTAACCCGAATCAACTCTGAATGTATCTGTATGTGTGTCGATCTTGATTATTTTAAATTTGTTATCCAATTAAATGCCCTCGCCGTGACCTTACACATTCACCTATTTCGACAAAATGTCGATTTATTTCCATGCGACTGTCATTTATTTAGTAACTGTAATTTGTTGTTTTTTCAAATATTTTATTTTATTAATTGATCACTATACAATGTAGTTTAATGTTTAGAATGTCAAAATAAGTTCTCTTTTTATTTTAATTTTGAAAGTTTTTTTTTTTACTCAGACGATCGATGAAATAAAACAGAGTAACCTGCTAAATAACGAGACAATTCAGACGTCAAATTTAATTTTGTCCAGCGACAATGTACAAACGTGTGTGACGGTGATCATCACAGTGACTAGCTACACCAGAAGGACATATTTTGCATCTGACTCAACCCCATGTAACAAACTTGATAATACATGTACGTGTTCATTATGGTCCATTCTTCCTCGATGAACAAGTACATAAGTGACAAATTATTCAAAGATGAGAAAACTGCACAAGAAATTTGCCTTATTTACACGTATTGGCAATGCAAGCTGCCCAGCGACTTCCCCTTTTGATGTCACAAGCGGAATTTCTGTATGCAAATGAGAAGCTAATGAGGAGTTTCGTTTTAAAATACACAAAAATAAAGTTGCCGTAGACTGAGTTTAAAACACATTTTTTCACTTAAAAAAATAATTTATGCTTAGAAACATAAAAATTAATATTTATGTATCAATGGACAATTTTAGGCATGAAAATAGCAGCCATTTCACAGACACTTTAAATACTAACACCTAATTTCACGAAGAACATAGAACACTTTCCTGGGGTATCTGAAATCAAAAATCGTCATTCCAGCTCAGCATCCAATCAGCGACGGCCTTACACTTAGATGACAATTTCGGTTTCAAATATCCCGGCTTAGTGTTCTAGGTTCTTTGTGTAATTAGGTGTTCGTATGCAAGGGATTTTTCCACACAAAAACGACAAATTCGGCCGAATTTTGCTATTGGTTGGCTTAATATAACCCCAACGGATCCTATGTCTGTGAAAGATTGGTATTTTTGTCCTGATTTGTAGGAATCTGGAAAAACGTCTTATTTAGTTTTATGCGCATTCAAGATGGCGGCCCCACATATAGTAAATATCGCATTTATTTTATTGTCATGTGTGCGTCAGCTGACTGTGCTTTTAGCTGGGTGAAATCTAGCTTAGCTTGCTTTCAAACCTAGCATGTTTTGCAGAAAAAAAACAAGCTAAACATGTTGCATAGTAGTAATTCAGGTGAATACTACAAAGAATAGGTTGAAATTAATGACGACAAAACTGAATGATTCTCATTTTAAAAATTATTATTTTTTTCATGAAAATTCAAAACTAGCTGAGAGCCAGTTTGAAAGTTAATTAAGTCACACTTAGACCAAACTATATATATCCTGAACAATAAACCAGAAATTAAGATGATAAATAAAGATACTTCTATTATACACATACATGTACATCATATAATAAAAGTAATTAAAATATTTGTCTTCTATCTATTTTAATGCGACCTTGAACACATTCTGTCAAAAAGTGAGATATAAATCAGACACAGCTGGTTGCATGTGATGTGACAACTGATATTAATATACACCTCTAACAAATTATTGTAAATGAGTGAAAAATGTAGACAATGTAATCAGCATACGTAACTTCCTTTCACACATCTGTGGCTTTTTTCACATAATGTACATTGTAATCTGAGTGCCACCGTACTGATATAATTGTCATTATTATCAAGTCACTCATGAGATAGAGTACAAACAAAGAACTGAATTATACATGTAGTTATAAATTCAACCTGCTTAATGTTTAACTATACATAATGGTTGTCGGCTTTAGTAAAAAAAAGTTATATGCATTATTTCATAAATTTTGGAGTGATTGCAAAAAGATTTTCAGTTGCTTTTTGGTAGTCAGCTTTAGCATAGAAATTTTGTATGCATTAACACTTATTTCTGGAATAATTGCGAAATAATTTTTAGTTGGGTTTTCGTTGTTAGCATAGAAAATTGGTATGCATACACAAGAATGGAGTGATTACAACAAGATAGCTTTGCAAGATCTGCTCACAATTGCAATTGATAAGACCACAAATTTACAGTCAACTCAGAAAATCATAATGATTGATTCTTTATTACGAAAAACAAAAAAAAATCATATTCAGTAGTACAAGTATCTTGTGATATTAAAAGAATCCCTAAAATCACGAGAAAAGAAAGATGTATAATATTAATGCTTCCTCAGGCAAGGTTAACAGTTTCAATGAGATACAAAACAAGCAGCCTGTCGGCTG